TTCAAAGACGCCTAATTTGAGAAAAAAAAATATTTTGAGAACCGATTCATACTGGCATTTTCCTCAGCGGCAGCTGCATTTAATTAAAATGTAAACAATAGTTTACAGCAAAACAAATGAAGAAAAACCTAGAATATATTTCGTAAATGAAAGGAGGATGCACTCAGGAAGTCACAATACTCACTATCGAATGAGAGCAACTGCGTTGATAGAAGAGTTGGAACAATCTTGGCGAAATTTCGTGGACCTAAAATTAGATGATGGTGACTGTCTATTTCACTTTCATTATATTCGGTGACAAGAAGTGTGTTTCTCCCATCTGAATTAAATTTTTTGCACCACGAGATCATATTCTTTTCCAGCAGCGGTAATTCCGTTTGGAAAGAGTTACTTCTGTATGATCTCAAATGCGGAAAACATTTTCAAAAAGAACACGGCATCTGATAAGATATATTCAACTAAATAAAGATTGAGAGAAGCTAGCAGTTAGTGGTATACTTAAAAATTACTAATTATGAACCGAGACCTACCGACCCCATGCTGTATAACATTAAAGCAAAATACAACAGCCCTACATGATTGTGAAACTAATAATTTAATGGGTGGTTTCACTCAAAAAAGGAGACTGATATTAGTCTCGATTCAAGCGTCCCCTCCCCTCTTTATCTCTCTCCAACAGCATCCAAAGGCTCAGGTTAATGTAATCTATTTTTACGTGGCCCCAATTGATATAGAGCCATTAAGTTGAATTTCCCCCAGTCAAACCTGACTTTCTGTATGGTACTGGAGGCGTAGGAAAAGTACAACTCGGACGTTTTTATTCAGTTTCAAGTATCCCTGCACGAAAACATATTGATGAAGTTTACATTCGCTTATGATTTATCCAGTCTCGATCTAAAAAATGTATCATGTTAGAATCCCCGAAGGGTTGGAAGTTTTACGTAGTCTCAGAGAAACGGCGACAAGCTGCTAGTCTCCTCAGATTAGTGACACACGTAAGGTGAACGGGATATTAGTGTTGATCCTAAGACGTCCGATACGGGTTGTCACAGTATCAATGTTTGCATTTAGAAGCAATCCGTTTCGATTTGAAGTTCATCATTTGTGTTTGAATACCCTTGCATTCGTACAATCCCTGGCGTCTCTGGGAGACGTCGGATCAGTAAAGATCGAATAGGCTAGTTCATGTTGATCCCTCATCCCAAACCACCGTCTCATTGTGTATTTGTTCAGATAGCAGTGCTACATGCCGACCATTTCCCCTCAACATGTACAACTATAGGTCCTATTTTAAGGTGATGGGCACCTATCAATGAAAGTTGAACAAGAGCAGACTTTCCTATAACTAATTATAATGCAACTCACTCCTCAGTTTCCATGATTTCTGTGTAAGTGACTCATATGAAAAACCGATGAACAGTGAACTTGGCTTTGAAACAGCAGAGCGATTCCTTCTATTTTTGCTTCCTGAGATCCCAAAATATCTCAAAATAGTATATAGCACAAAACCGCAAAGCAAAAGTACCTACAGTTAGCTAAACTCATAGTTTGGTTACGCTATACACAGGATGTTTTCCTGTTGCCAATGACGTATGCATAAAGTTGTATGTTACAAATTTCATGCGTTCCAAACTGTGAACTAAAACGGACCATGATGGGTGTTACGCTAAGTGCAACTTAACTTTAGGTATGAATTATTATTCACTCATTTGTATTTGTTTATATCGTCCCGTCCAAATGCACTTTGCAGTTTCCACTGATGTATATCAGTCATTTATAACTGGAAAGTAAAGCAAGATAATTTTCACTCGCAATTTAATTTTATGAAAAGCATTTTACATTACCCCTTGAAATTATTTTCTGGAAAATGATTTTAAATTATGATATGCATGCTTGACAGAATATTTTAGTCAATCATCTTAAATATCGCATTCAGTTGAGTTCACCCAAGCATTGAACTCTGTTATTCTCTCCTTAAGTTTTGACCATTTGGGACAGCTCTTTGCGTAAAATAATAAAACGAACCATACGATGAGATACTATTCCGAAGCCAAATAATCTGCTGCTACAACTTATCGGCTGTTTCATTCCGAAGGATTCAGTAAGAGTACTTAACTCGGTCTGCTCCCCTACTTCATTTCGTTTCATGTTTGGGCGAGCTGTGGTACTTTCCCAGGCTATATTGACCTCTTAGAGCATTGCAATGAATTGTATTTATGGGGAAGTGTTACTGTTTGCCGGAACCCTCGATGAGTAGGGCTTTCAATCAGCATTACTGCTACTGCTTAGACTGTATATCTGGTCTCAGTTCGGTTCGCCAACAACCTTCATGTGTAATGCCAAATTGGTAGTGGCATTCGTTACTCACTCCTGCCTTTCGTGTACACCTAACGGCTTTACCCATCGAACATAACAATATACTTTCGCATCAAAAGTTGTTTGCTGTGTGATTACCAAAAACAATATGACAAAACATTATGCTTGACTGAAAATTATCCCTACCTCCGGTCCTGTTCCAAACATGTTTTGTGCTTTAGAACACTTTTCCGTTCTAAGAGATTTGCCATGTTTTATGTGCGTTTTACCGTCCCCGTGTTCTAATGGTTCCCCAGGGCCAAGGTTTCCGTCATAAGTTCTATCTGGTCGACCATGATAGCTGGCCGCTGGTATACGCTGACGGTTTGGAGACCAACTGGGAGCTAACTGATTGCGCACTCCTCGCATAATATGATCTGACTGGGAGCCAAATGGGTCTACACTGAGAGCGCCGTCATCGCGGTCTTCATCAGACTCATCGTCATCTTCATCATCATCTTCATCGTCATCCTCGTCGTCCTCATCGTCGTCCTGCTCCGCATCATCTTGCCCGTCGATGAGATCATCATCATCCCGATCTTCGTCATCGTCATCATCCTCGTCCAGGTCATCCTTGTCATTCACATGCCTCTGTTTTCTATTTCGATCTGGAATGTTGTTCTCGGCTCGATGCGAATCATGTTTACCCGGAGACTCTTCGTCTGTCAGTCTCTAAAATAAAGGAACAAGTGGAACGCGAGGTGTGTATCGCTAAATACACGCGAAACTGTATGCAGAATGGCTGTTCACAAGTAATTAATGTATGAATCTATGAATCTATCAAAGATTTAAAGACCCACAAACAAATCGGGTGTCTTGGGAAACAGGTTGAATAACGTTTATTTACTCAACTGACTATAAGATGCTTCACCAGACAAGATCAGTTCTATGTCTGTCAAAAATCGTTGTGCTCAACTAATCAATGTGAAATTTTAACTTGTGGGGTCATTACTCTTAGTTCGTATCACACAAATCCCCTTAAAAATGTATATGTAAGCAATTAAACGAGTAACTAGTGTGAGTAGATGGTGTAGAGCTACTATTTATTAAAACGAGATAAGTGACCGAAGATGCGAGCCCTGAGGACCTCAACTTAGAAGCCCCAGCACACTGTTCATATGTTTTCGAATCTGCATCAGATCAATCAGCAAACATAGAATATCCATTAAATCTGTTATACAGAGTACGTAAAATAGGTATAAACTATAGTAACCGATAAACAGAAGTTTGCATCAATTCTCCATCGTCAATAGTTAGATCCGAAAACTGAACTACGGTAGTGCTGCACTGATTGTTCCATCGGAATTAGGCTTCACTGTATGATGATGAATGTTCTATCATCATCACTCTTCTCGTTTTTTTAAAAATCTAAGTTTCATGTCTCTCGTTCTTCCAATAATATTATATTATCAGATCTAGCCCTTTCATGTTTTAAAACGTTCCCAAATATGCACAAAATAAACTTGTTATTCAGTATGCAATCCTGAGCGCAGCCATAGGAACAAATCCGGTGATGTGTACACGTGATAGACTTCTCTGCTACTTTGTCCTTTTTTGACTTTTCAAACGTGTGATGTTCCACACATTTCGTTCCAAGGTCATCATTGTTGCGGTCTTGCAGGAGATAGACAGTTGGGATTGGTTGATGATAAGCAAGCGATCAATTAAAATCCGTCTTGGTGAGAATCACATGCGGCTCCCCCAATTTCCACTGAATATGTTTAGATGGGTACTCATGACCCAAATTCATTAGATTCACCTGTTTTTATCTTAGATGTCTTATTATTGAATGGGCTCTTTGGTCCGTGAGAATTTCCTAACTTTGGCTTTGGACAACTATTCGTGTAGGATTGTTTGCATTGGTTTGTACACACTGAAACTGTTTTTATAAATACTACGCTTTCTGTGTGACAGAAGCGTTAGATGTGCGTTAGATATCTTCGTAAGACCTGATGAGCTTGAGGGCATACACGCAACAAAATATTGGTGCAACACTGAAGCCGACCCTTCGTTTCTATCGGACGATAGCTGTGTGTGTGAAAGTGACGCATTTTCTTATGGGTCTCTTCCATTTTCGGTATTTTTAAAAATGTAAGAGGTGACTAGAGATAACAACTTTACATGCTCCGGTTGATCTCTGTGATCTGGTTCGTTTCTTTTTTCAATTATAGCCGAAAACTATTTTTTTTTGGGTCATTGTTTTTTGGGCACTATAATTGATCTCAAGCTGGTGTTTATTTGATAATATGAAATGTCGAAAATAAAACAAGAGGGCAGGAAAACGTCGATAATGAAATAAATCATATATCACCCTTTGACTCCCTTCTGAGTAACCTGTCCGACCCATAGTCATTTCAATTGCAATACGTTGTAAAGTTTTTGGGGTAATTAGTTCACTCAACCCAGTGAGAAATTATCTTTACATGAGAGAGAAAGAAGAAAGTGGGTATGAGTACAATTTCTCGATAAAGCTTGATACTCCCATCTGGAACAAATCAAAAATGGGATTTCGATATTATTCTTCCCAAAACATTGGGCAAGCCAGTACGGTAGGAATTAACCGTCTCACGGTATTTCCAGTGTTCATCATCTAATTTCACCAAAAAAATTCCAAAAGAATCTGGACTGTTAACCCGATTCCATATTCACACAACGACCATCGTGGCTCGCATTTGGAGATCAGCAAAGGATGATGGGCAACTAAACTGGAACCGAACAATGTGGTATTGGGTAATGAAGTGTAAATAAGAAAATCCGCACCTTCCCGATGATACCACCGAACGCTGCTGTTTATGCTGACTACCATAGCACTGATAACACAGTTAGACTGATTCGACTAGCAGTGGCTTCAGACCGTATTTCAAACATAAATCATATTCGAGACTTCAGAAATCGTTTATATTTTTATTTGTCTACTTGCCAGGTCAGTCCATCCAACATAGCTAACGTTTATCTGTTCACAAGTATATGATACTTGCATCGTTTCTACACAAGGAACATAATTAAGACAAAAATTGTCTCCGGTAGCTATTTTTGTTGTCTCGGTTTGCTCTCATGACTAATCAAAGGGTAACCTTACAACTGTTTCTACCAACACGCCAAAATACTTTGCCACTAAACATCACAGCGTACCATGCCTTTCATTAACTAAATTTGACTTGAAGTAGTAGTTTGTGAAGGAAAGGTTCTGATCGTGGTAATGAAGTGTCGGTTAAATGGAAATGTGAACTCAACACTTAAGCACGTTTGAAGTGAAAAAAAGATGATCTCCAATATCTATCGGTCTTACATTTTATGCCTGAAAGAACAATAAAAGCGGTCACTTAGAAATGGAGCAGAAGTGCCTTATCAATTTTGACGTGTTTGACATACACCAGAGTACTTGAGCTGTTCCTCTATAGCTCTCAAAGTGGCATCCCCCTCTTCGCTTTGGCCAAGTGCTCCGCTGCGTGTCAGCTCCTCGTACTGATTTTCCAAGTAAGCCAGATTTCGAAATCGTGTAAGATAGAACGAATACCACGAACCAAGCTCCTCTTCTAATTGCTCATATTCCTCCATGTAGGCTGGACGAACCGATTGCAGTGTTGAAAGACGTTTCCGGTTTCTCTCCAGTTCATTGCGTTTCTTCTCTATTTTCTCGTCTAAATTGGTCTCGTCCGCCGCTACGTTAACCAGAGAAGTTTCTGTTTTCTCAATCATTCCTTTCAGTTCATCTCGAGCATTTGCGACGCACCTTTCTACCCATTCACTGTCCAGTTGTCGACGTATAGCGCGATCACGGGCCTCTCGCAAATCGACCTCTCGACCAATCAGAGCATGCAATGAGGCCCCACAAGAGGCCAACTGACCGGATAATGCTCTACCTTCTTGGAGTTCCTTTTTCTAAATTTTAAAGTAGGATGAGTAAAGGTTAAAGGTTGTGCACTGAGTTACGAAATATAATAATACTTGCATAGTTATCTGATCCTCAGTATTCAAAAGTATAAATATAATCAAGTCNACCCCCAATGATAATCCAGTCCGTCTGAAATTTATCCACTTATATTTAAACGCTGTATTCAAGATACAATTGATTTTACGAATCAATCCTGATATTGTTTCATAATAAAGTATTAAAATATAAATTACCTTCATTTTCTACAGTGAATCACTCACTCAACTTACAGCACAGGGGATCCGCTAACTATCATGTGAGCTATCTGTCTTTGTAGGTCTATCTTAGAACAAACCGGAATCCGCCAGGGTTGTGTCAATTGTCCCAACAATACTCTTTGGCAGATAATAAAATTATGGTCTTGCTTTGATTGTGAATGGACCAGCGGCCTCCGTGGGATTCAATGCCCGAATACTACCAACAATTAACTTATGCATATGCAGCATAACGCTTGAATTTAAATCCAACCTAAGCTACTGAACTGCATACGATCCATATATTAGACAGTTGCCTTCCGTTTGTGCAACAGAACATTCTTGAGGAACTTTTGTCTTGTCTTATGCACTTACTCATGAGTAGTTAAACTATTTGTTCCTGAAATAAACCGAAATGAAATTTTAGTCACGTGCTGTTTACACATTCATTTAAAAAAAATGAAAGACATTCCAATGTTTGGAATAAACCGTGTCTTTCTCGCCAAGAAGCTACAATAACAGTTTCCTTTCGGTTTGCGAAATCCTTCTTCTCCCAGAGCTCTCTAGCAATTTTCTAACAGAAGATTTTGGACATTCACGATACATTTCATTTCAGTTCAGTTTGTACAATCGTTAACCACTTGCTTGCGGCGATTTCAGCTGCTGTCTTTTGGCATTCACGATTAAAAATGTAAATTACGCTCAACAAAACAAGAAGAAAACCACAGCAATTATTATTTATGCTGTATTTTTAATCAACCAATCAGAACATTGCTAGCATTCAGTTTCGACACAGTGAAGTGTCCACATTCCCTTGATGCGTCTGAAACTAGAGGCCTCCTTATAAACATCATAATTTCAAATACAGTGATGCCCCAGTTTTAACATGAAAGTACACGAAACCAACCTTGGACATATCAAACAACTCTGTGACACACAAATCCAACTGCTCAGAATCCAACTTTGTCCTGTTCTCACACATTGCTGAATAGAGTATTTTTGCGATTTTCAAAAGTTCCTTCACAGCAAATCCATTGGCCTGATAAAGTTTCTTTGTATTCAGTCGAATGCATGCCCTGGTAACCATAAAATGTGCAATCATCTTCACGAACAGCACTCGATCTTGCTCTGTGTCCAAACACTGAGGTATATCTGCATGTGAATCGTAGCGCAATACAAGCCACGCTAAAATTTCTGCAACCAATGGGAAATTCGGTTGACGAAAATTCTCCATCGATATCAAGCGTGGGAATCCAAGTGACCGCATCATCTCGGTAAACGTACGCATTTCACGGTACGACATCCTGTTTGATGATTCTATTGAAACGGAAAATCATCAAAAATCTGAAAATGCAATAATTGTAATCATGAAACTCAGCGTTTTCTTCTCAGAGTATTTCAACAAAATATTAGGGAGACCATTTTCACTGCGTTTTCTGCTCAAATGTAGCCAGATTATGGTCAGTTCTAAACCATAAATATATTTTGCTAAATTTTATTTGTACCTTTTTTCTTTATCGTTTTATTCGGGAATAGCTTTTCTTTATTTTTTTCCCGTGAAAACGATGCAAAATCCGTACAAATTAAATAGATTAAAATGACTGGAATTAAAATGATTTGAAAATTTCAAAGTTAAATAACTTCAGATCATCTACCTGCAGTGAATATGAACTCTATGAAATCCCGCAAATTATTTGTATGATTGTCATTATCATTACTGTTATTAATGATACATACAAAAACTGTCCCATACAGCCATAAGCATTCAAACCAATCTGGCCTCTGGATCTACGAAACAGTCACAAGTTCTAGACAGGTTCAGACCAAACGCATTGTTGTATCCCGTGGGATGTCCATGTGAGATCTACTGTTTGAATTGCAGCTATCTTCACATTACATTGAACATCTTCGACCTAACCGGTCTTAGACCGTCTACGTCACATTGTTTCTCTTAGCATTGAATGTTTGACTTTCTATGGCATCATTCTTATGTCACTTAGTTCTTACGTGCCGTGTCACTGAATGCAGTTTTGATTGCACATTGTATAGGTTGATCGTTGTCAGCAGGTACTTTAGCCCCGCTTCATCACCACCCCGTCCCTTGGTGGCATGTCTGTCTCTTTAACACCTTTTGTCTCTACGTCATACGTTTTACCGTTACATTCTTCTCTATCGATCACTTCTCTTGTTTTGCATCTATGACGCATTCAAAGGGGTATGAATCGGCCAAGGTCTGCCCCACGTCCTTTTCACTGTCAGTGTTTTTCGTTTCCTTTTGGACCAACAGCGATGAGCCGTGGTTCACTGCAGACCTCCACCCAGTACTGCTTTATTGTCGCTGCCTGGTTGTTTGCACATTCCTCGTTCGTTAGTTACGGCAGCTGGTTGCTCGCCTGAACGAACCTAATCTGTGGCAATCCTGTATAGACCCAAAGGAGCCGTTTGGTTGATTTGTTTATACAGCCCATATTGCTGTACATTTGGGGTATGCTGCGTTCGCACCGCTGTTTGATTCATTTTTATATTATAATAATATAGAACGGTGTCCCTATCTAACTGAATTAGTTGTTTGCGAGGTTCGTTTTGAAACATGCACCTATTTCACTATCGGTTGAATTAGGACTTGACGTACCTAGCGGATACTCGGAGTCCGTTACGCGCACAGTGGTTAGTTCCGTCAGTGAGATGAGAAAAACAGCAATCAGTTTACCGATACCGCTCACAAGAACGAACACTCGGCGGGGAACGCATGTTAACAACTCTCGGAGTGCATCGTCCTCAGCGAGGAAAAATGGACACAATAAACACAGCGCACGTAAGCTGTTGTATACAAAAGTGAGTGAATGTAGTATCCCATATTTCAGTGTTCTTGGGATGCAGATACAGACGCGAGAATACGGAGGATTCAGAAATTATCTTTTACAGTTCGCTCAATCCCGTCAATTGACTGTGTACGGGATTTGGAGTGTGATAGAATATGTGAGACACCATTCAGCGCCAAACTAAAACCCTTCATTGTGGTTTCTGTATTATCGCACACGAACAATTTCATCTGTTTTCAGGAACACACAGTGTGAAAGCAAAAATGGATTTCCCCCTTCAGCGTTGTGCGTTCTTACCTTGAACGGAGTAATTTTGTACCTGATCTATGGAGAAAGACGTCTAAACAACCTTTTGGGTAGCTATCAGTTAATTTCAGTAGAGTAAATCAGCACAAGATCACAAGCGTCGTAGAAACTGAGCTCAACTCACGACTTCAAACATGATTGATCAGTACGCTATGGGTAGCGAGTTTGATAATGGCCAAACGTGATAAAGAATACCTTTCAGTGTGAGATTTATATATATACATATATACATATATACATATATATATATATATATATTCACACACGCCTGAGGTCAGAGTGTGCCAAACAAATCATATTACATTCATCTTTATAAAAAGAAAAAGTTTCATGATTTGTTTGTGGGCCTTCCTCTAGCCTGACCCGCAAAGCAGCGGGGTGGTCTATGAAAATCTCAATCCATGGGAAGTTCGTTCCCAGTTCATTTGATCACACCCTTCGGACTGGATCAAGCGCCCGATGTGCCCAATACCAATCGATATCTAGTCGAGCTGGTGACCATTGTCTAAACCAGGGAGGCGTATGCGAGAGTGAGTTAATTAGTGGTTGATAAAGAAAGATAGTACTAGTTTGGGGAATTTTCAGATTATATATGACCGTGGTAAAGCTATGTTAATCGCTACATAAGAAAGATAATGGTTCTAGGAGCAACGGGCAAGTGATAAACACCCTCAAGTAGTTAATAGTGGTAAGCTCATAAAATCTAACAGAAGAGGTCCCACTGTTGTTGAGTTTCTAATAACGTTTTCCAGTACACCGTAACTAAATGGGGAAGTAATAGAGCAAGGGAATATGTTATTTGGGTAGCTACATCTCACGTGGTGGATGCATCACGGATAAAGTGTCAGCTCGCATACAGAAGGCTCGGTTGGCACTTACCAACTGGAGACATCTGTGGTGCCGTCACGCAATCCGGTTGTCTGTGAAGGGTTGAGTGTATGCTGCAGCAGTTCGGTCATTTTTGCTATACGGCGCAGGAACTTGGTCATTAAGGAGGCAGGATAAAGAGAGCCTGTCGGTGTTTGAACACCGCTGTGTACGCAGCATTGCATGAATCTGGTGGGGCAGCCGTACGAGCAATGCTGAGGTTAGACGCAGAGTCTTGGGTAACCGCGGTCACACACTGAAGCAAGTGGTTGAACTCCATAGTTTACGTTAGCTGGGACATGTGTCACGCATGTCACCAAATACGTTGCCACGGCGCGCTGTTTGCCGAGGCAGGTAAAGGGTGAGAAAAAGCAAAGGGTGGTCAACCTAGGGCCTGGCATGAGTGTGTGAAATACCTCACGAAAGTGCATGTTTAATGGTTGTACAAACTGAACTGAACTGAACACCGTAACTATTTGTAGTGCACTATGGAGACCAGAAAACTACCATCTAACCATTATCTTGCAAACGCTCGCGCATCTTCCCGATTTCATCGTAACCTTAGTTTACTGAAATTGTCCATCATCTCTTCGGTCTTACGTTCAACTTTCCCGACGTTCTCCATCCAAATGGGCAGCCAGAAGATAGCAACCAAAACTGGTGAACGACAGTGCATGGTTAATGCTTATACAAACTGAAGCTAAATCTGATCTTGGAAGTTATGTGACTTGGGAAACTACTGAAGGGACACCAAGTGTGAAAACTTACGTTTCAACGATTGATCATCTTTTCTCGCCAGCAGGCGGCTGACGAAATCATCAAACCACTGGATTAGATTCCTATTGCTACAAGTATTTCAACAATACCATCGAGATTTGGACGATTTAGAACCTCGTGGAGAAAACCTACATTGTGTAAATCAGCTTTTTGCCTATTTTTTCCAATATTTGCTGATAAACTTTTGTCTTTGCTCTCACAATGTAATATCTGTGATTTCGACTAGCTTGGAGGAACAACGCCATAATAATGAGAACACAACAGGGACAAAGCCAACCTTTAGTTGCGCCTGTTGTCTGGGTGTTTTTGGAATATAAATCATCATCTAAGTTTCATATCCGATCGCTTCCAGAACAGACAGAGCCAACACCTTATATGATAGAAATTGTGACAGATGAATGTATTGCATAGTTATTTGAGGAACAAACATAACGACTATGCAATAACATTGAATAATCATTAGCTGCAAGTTGAGCACCTATAGGGGATGAGGACGTAAGATTTCTAGAGAACAATAGTGCTTTTGTATGGCTTTGTAACCAATAGCTTGTACCATCTTTGCTACATGTGAACGGTGCATACCGAAGTACAAACCTGGTTTAAGCCTTGATCGATTTCGTATTTGTAAACTTTTACATAACTAGTGACTGAGATGAGCTATTTTTCTAACACGCTGAAACGATTATAACTCCGTCAGGCTACTACCCAAGCCTTACACAATATCAAAGACTCTCGTTCTAACCTCATATGAGTCCCACACAGAACGTGAGATGATAAGCTGTCCCAACAATATGTTTTTATATATTTCACATGCGTCTGATTCTGGACTGTGAGTCAGACAAATCATGATACAATAGGTTTTTTAACAGTTTCATTTGGGCCCTTTGGCTGGTAGCTGATATTATCCACGGGCTTGGATGGTATCTCAACAGAGTTCCATTCTGCGTTGTGGTTATCAATTGAACCCACTTTTCTGTGTTGTTTTACATGGTTTATATAAACTTTCAAAATGGATATGGACCAGCAAGCTTAGAAGACGTCAACCTATGGGTCTATATTTTAAAACCCGAATTAGGGCATGCTTAATCTTACACCACTCATGAATGCTGTTCTCAAGAGGTCTGAAACCATAAGGTATAATAAACTATATCTGTAATTCGAATAGTTGCCCGTGCACAAACAGTTGAGGAGGTACAAACACACAAACCATTGACTGTATTCCTCCCCAGAGACCAGTATCCTTCCCATGTTAGCTTATATACTCATCGGAATATCACTTACACCGACTTTCAGTTTTGTGCACAGATTTATACACCTTTAACAAAGCTATTCCGCTTCCGAACGACCTTCTTTTGGACCGGATCGGAGCGTATGTACCGAGCCAGCTGTGTCATTTGATAGAATTTTGGGGCTACATGAGAGCCCTGGAGCATTTGGTTCGATCATATAACAAAGTTCATCGTGTAGGCGGCCAATGCAACCTGAACGGAAAAGCTAGAAAGCATTAAACAGTAATTTCTCAATTGTTGGG